TTTGGGGGTCCATCTTAAAAGGTCAACGTTATTAAGAGGAGTAGCCCAAGATCTTTATTAATTGGTCTGTGTCAACATCTTTATTCGATGTGGGATTATATCCCTTAACAGTAATAAATATTGGCCAAATGCTTAAATATCTCATGACCTCTATTGCTAATGCACTCTGCTTGCAAACCGACGTGTGACAAATAACTGCAGGTATACAAATGACAACAGCTACGAGAGGATAGGTCCTTAATTACTAGACAGCTAAATATGAATGAAGCTGAAATTGTATCTCCGAGTTTCACAGATTCCCTTATCAATATAATCGGAAGTCATGTCTCTCTCTCACACCAGAGGCAGTGACTTTCCAATTGTCCCGACTTCTGAAGTCGATTTCAAAAGTCCGCATGTGAAAAATCTTTATGATTTAGAAATTTGTTGATAAACCAATCATCGTTAACAGAAAATCCTACCAGATATATTCGCTAAGTTCATTAATTAACCGTGCGAAGGTGCGAGACAGGACTAAAAACTCCGCCTGCAAGCCGACATGTGGCAAATGACTGCAGAAGTACAGATCACAACAGATATGAGAAAACAAGTCCTTAATTACTAAACAGCTAAGCACGAGTGAAGCCAAGATTTATATCCCGAGTTTCATAAATTTCCTTATCCACCATAATTCAACATCTCTTTTCCAAATTCAAACATGACCTTCCTTCTTTTTAGAAGGAAAAAAGGAAATACCCGGAATGGGGACAAATAACTCTCAGGCACTTGAATTAATAAACAAACTAATACATGAATTTCTTCATATAAACATAGTTGGCTGGTTTATCTTTAAACTATGAGATTACAAAATACAAATTATTGCACCAAGGGGAGAAATTGAGAATTTTCACTTCAAAATGGATTATTACATGATAAAATGCCAATTAAAGTAGTATAAATCACTGTAATCAAGAAAATGACACAAATTCCCACAAGAAGAAACTACAAATGCACAAACCACTCAGAGAAAGGGGCTGGTGACTCAGAAGACAACAGAAATTTTAAAATTCAAAAAAGTAAGGTAAATAAAAACTTAAACTAATCACATGATTCAAAATAAACAAACAAATACATACAGATATGTGTTTCTGTTTGTGTGCATGCGTTCATGAACAAGAACCCACAAAGAAAAGTCTAAACAACATCTATTTATCGAATATGAATTACATATTCCAATCCGTTAATTTCTTGACAAGAATTAACATAACCAAAGAGAATTAATCGATGAAAAATTAACTGATAGTTAAAAGCACTATAACCATCAAGAATTCACAGAATCCAACAAGATTCTCATTTCCCAAAAGTAAACTTTATAGAAAATAGAGAAATTTCATACAAGCAAACTGACAAACACGCACACACATGTATCTATGTATGTGTGTCTCTCCATATATATGAAATCCACTTACTTGGCAAGACCTTCTTCCAAGAGAGCTTGTTCTTCTGGTGTCCAGTCCATAGAGATTGTCTGTTGGTGCTGAAACGTGGGGATAGCACCCTCCATTCCATGCACAGAATTTCCATTGTATGAAGTTGAACCATGGCTCTGCTGACACCCATCTTTGTGTGTTCCACTCATGTGAGCCATTAAAACACGCACATGCACAAACAAATATAATATATATGGGAAAGTGAGCCTGCAAGTTTAGGAGTCCAAGAAAGGGAAAAAAAAATACAAGAAAATTGAGTTCCTTTGTGGAGAAACCAAGGTTTAAGGGATTGGAATGAGAGTTAAACTCAAAGATTCTTTAAGCTGAAATTGAAGGGTTGAAGAGGGGAAAGTAAGGGGAATCTCAAATGCACGTAGGAAGGGCAAGAAAGGGTGACTGTGCAGCGTGTACAAATGTAAGCAAACTTTTGGGGTGCCAATATAATATATATACATATGTATTATGTGGTGTCAAGAACCTATATGTAAATGTAGTCGAGCTGTTAATTTAAATATCAATAATTAAAATTTCAAAGCACTCAAATTACAACACATTAGATATTCTCTCTCTTACCACCCTGTGTTTGAGGTGTCATGATTTGAATGGTTCATGAACGTGATAAAATTATCTATTTTAATCGTGATAACTAGAATTTTGAACCAATCAAATCATGATATCTCAAATATTAATTAGATTAAACGATTGATTTTTGAGTGTCATAATTTGAGTGGTTCGGAATCCGATGATGGTTACAGCGCGTGAATTTATTACATGGAATTCTTTCTTTTTCTTTCCAAATGGAATTTAACATAGAATAGACTGTTGGGTTTGGTTTTTGAGTTTTGAAAGGAAAGAGGAAAATATTTTTCTTTTGTTAAAGAGAAAGTGGATGCTGACGCACTGACAGCATCTCTCCGTCTTCTCCTTTTGAAAAGAGGATTTAGAGCTTCCTTTTTATTTGTCTTGCCTAATTTATTTATTGGATGGGAGAAAGGTTTTTTTACTTTAAAGTGTGCTACAATGACCTTTTTAATCCTGTGGTCGATTTTAATAACAATTTGTTTTCCATCTTTAATATTGAGAACATGATATTGAGTGGAATTTCTTTTCATGCACTCATTGAAATGTCGACTCGATATTTTAGTAACACATGAGTAAATTTAAAATTTGATACGAACTCTACAAGACAGACGTTAAAGAGAGTTTGACCATCAAACGTGCATGGGATGGTCCATCTACTAGACTTATGTCTTATACAAAAGAAGTCTTAACAAAGTTAAAGTAGAATATTTAAACAATTACCTACACGGAATAAAGGTATCATGACTATATATAATTGAAAAGTTGAAAGTCCTTTGAATGTTTGTTGATTGTTTTTCGATAATTAGTATGCATGTGCCACTCTTGGAGAAAGTAAGTTGTTGCGTCTCAAATTTCAAGTAACACAAATCTACTTGTGTATGAATTCCGTGAACTTAATTCTAATGCATGTTTCTGTCAACTAGAGCAACCATGGTTGCCCAAAATTTCTAAAAATATTTAGTTTTCAATTTTTATCCCTTTTTAAGTGGTTCACTAGATTAGATGTCTAGCATCTTTTGAAAATCAAACTACAATAAGCTTACAAGGGTCATAGGTTGGATCAATAGTTCAATTTCCCTTTCTAGATTTTAATTTCATATTTAGGGCGTGTTCGGTAGAGATTAAAATCGGATTAAAATTAAAAAACTAGCCGTTATTATTGACTTTTATTAGATTAATGGGACTCAATAACGACTATATTTTCAATCTTTTACTATAATATGTTTGTGACCACTATTCAAAATAAACAAGATTTTGATGTTTAAATTCCTTTAGTGAAAATGGGCCATTATTGGAAAGAAATTTATCCCACTGAAAACGAGTTTAATAACCACAGTACACTACAATCAACAAAGATTTAGGCCCTATTTGTTTCAGATTAAAATCAAATTTTAATTTAAGTAGTCAAACAATCAATATTAACAACATCTTTCATGGGTCCCACAACTTTTCAACCACACATTTTAAAAATTTCTATCACAATCTACTAAACTTCTAGACACGTTAGTCGAGTTGAATAACATCTTATACCGGGTGCACACACAATGGAAGAATGCATTAGCATAAATCCGTAATCACCCATACAACGCCACCACCAATAAATCATATCCCAACATGACGATAATTGTAATTAGGCAAATTAATTTGCAAATGTTCAGTACGCAGTAGCGAGCAAATGGTCATTCGACCCAGAAATACGATAGGGTACAAGCTCATCAAAGCATGCTAAGTCAACATTAACATATGAATCTGTTCATGGAGTTTATCATCATATCCTTTTCAATTCTAATACAAACCAGTTAGTACATAATTGGTATACAATACTCACAGAATAACAATAAATAAATAAAAAAATTGACTTGTGGTTCTTCATAGTACTATCCAATTCTCCCCCTTCAAAAATTTCCGTTTTACAAACAAGGATAGTCCCACCTTTAAATACGATAGTCATTTAGGCCAATAAACGGCAATTGCAATATGAACAGAAGAATAAGTTGCTAATATCACCATTTGGACAAAAGCACATATAATTATCTACTATGACTAAGTTCGTTATATCATGACAGTAAAATTTTCGAGAAAATCTCGTTTGCAATATAGTTTTATTACTGTATTATAACTTATAATATTTTCAAAATTTTCAGTACATAAATAACTCTCCAAATACATGAAACTCACGAAAATTGATGTGCTATCTTAACCTGTATGTAGTATTCTTGAGCAGATTATGCAATGTAAAGCAAACTTTCCACTTCGTAGTCCTGAGGAGAAAAGGGAAAAGCATAAATCACATAAATTTGTAATGCATCGCAACTAACTAAGAGTAATGCTAATGGATCATCACGTAAGTTCCATGTCCCTTCATTTAATTGGACCTCTCATTTAATGCCACCGCGTTGCCTCATAGGGTGATGGCAAATAGCATTATCCATTAACTAAAGCCTAAATAACGGACGTCAAAAAAAAAATGGCACAAGAAACATAATATGAGTAGTCCGTTGTGACAACATTAATAGAAACAACAAATTATACACCCATATTAAGCTCCAATCATCAAGTAGCATAACAGAACAAGCCAACGATCATTAAAACCTGTCATTTATTTCTAAAACTTCCACATGAAGAGCTGGCCAAATCTATGTCTAATACTCCATCCTTGAAAGGATTCACTATATATGTGTGTGTGTGGAAAGTTCAATCCCTTGGAAGATAGTGTGACAATGTAATTTGCATCCACAGGTGGTATTTTTACTATGGACGGTTGTCTGGGGACATGCATTAACGATGGATAATCGCCGAAGAAAAGGCTTCTATATAACCGAGTAGTGCTATATGTGTAGAAGTGATGGGGAGTTGCACGACCACTTGTTCATTCACTGCGACGATGTTCGTTGGCTGTGGTATAATATTATGGCTTCTCAACATATAGATTGGGCGTTGCCTAAATGTATTGAGGACGTGTTGCGGGCATGGAGGAGAAAGTTTCGTGATAAAGATAGCAAACTTGTTTGGAATCTTATCCCGGAATGCCTTATATGGTGCGTGTGGAGAGAAAGGAACAATCGCTGTTTTGAAGACCAAACACGGACTACAGAGCAATTTAGAGAATTTTTTTATCTAACTTTGTATAGTTGGTTTAATACCGCAACTAGTAATCTCATAGAGGGACTGCCTAATTTCATGTCTTTTTTTTCTTGTTTACGTTGATAACATACTTCCTGTGTATTCTTTTTTTAATTAATAAAATTATTTGATTACTTTTTATTAATAAAATTATTTGATTACATATCAAAAAAAAAAAAAAACTGTTCAACACTAGATAAAGAAGACATTTAAAGATAAACATCCTTTTTCTTTGGCAGAGCAATATACATTTTATATTTCTTAATTTCTGTCAAATATATAGCTGCTATAGTTTTTCATCTAAATTCCTTTAGTATAGTGCTGTGCTAAATGCTTATCAAAATCTTTGGGCCACACCCACACACAAATCTCAAAAGGACAGGACTCAGTTTCAATGGAGATGCCCACTGAATACCACATCAAGAATATGGTATCTATTAAAAGAAATTCTTCAACTCCCAAATGATGAAATGGCAATCGCAATAATTCCTATCCATCTTGTTCAATTTGCTTAGAATCTTTATGATCGATAAGGTCAGATGCAGTTCTATGAAGTATTTCATGTTCTTAATACTTGTATAACTATTTGAGTTTTTAAAAAATTCCATGGTTTTTACTCGACCGAATCATAAAGAGAAAAGAATCTCTTACTACAGACTACAGTTACAAACTTTGCACACCCAGGTTTGAATTTACAAATTTGCCATTTCATTTTTGGTCAAATTCACTCCTAAAGATAGACAAATGCCTACATTTGGCTCGTGTGTATAAACTGTTTATAAACACTAAAGCCATTTTTATCTACACATTTCGAAGGATCACAAATACTACCCCCTTATTCACCACTCATTTTTATCTATTTGTAGTTTAAACCGTTTATAAATACTTCCCAAACATGCTTTAAATATGAATGCTCGTTTCCACCCACGAAACCAAGGTGTCAAAGTTTGCAGCTCTCCCACTAGCACAACACACCTAATTCGAATCTGTAATTAGTTCACATATGCGGCTTGTTATCATATTCAAATATGATTTTCATACTTTTTATGGCTCAAATCAAACTCTCAATCCTCAATTAGAACCAAAAAAGCTATGAATTTTTTTATAAAGAAAATGTCATGAAAATCATTTTGATATCTATAAAATGGATAGAATCGATATATCAATGTCATGAAATAGATGTTCTCAAGACGCTCTTAAACTTATAGATTTATTTTATCAATTCTCTGGCACATCCACACCCACACAGTCACACTTAGCTTATGTATGACCCATGTTTATAAACAGTTTATCAACACCGGAACTACTTTTATTTTACACCCTTCAAGGATCTACAATTACTACCTACTTATCCACCACTTATTTCTATCTATTTCTATTTAAATCATTTATAAACACTTCCAAACATGCTTAGAGATTAAGGCAACCATATGATCCAGTCTACTAAGACTAGTACATATCACTGTTTCTAATTGATAAATACATGCCAAACTACAGTATTTTCATTGTCTGCAACTAAATTAATGCCATTTCTCATTGGAGATGAAGAAAATGCACGTTGAAGTGGACCAATAACCAACATGAAAAATTTCTGAAATATATGGAAGAAGAACTAGCATAATCAGCATATCATTACTACTAAAAGTCAAAGCAATAGATGCCAAAGTAGATGATCATAAAATTTGAAGAGAAGATAGAAGATACATGTACCTTTTAAGAGGTTGACTATATTTTGGAGGTACAAATAGACGTATGAGCCATCAAATGCCATCAGAACTTTTCATTGAATTACTCCAAACTAGAAGTCAGTGATAAGAAAATTGTTCCAACTCACAAATTGAAAAAACTCGCATAATAACAGCATTTTCAGTACTATGGCATGGCCTATCTCATCTAGTTATACGGCAAAGACCAAAATTTAATTGCTGTTCTGAGCTGGAGTCCTACTCTTGATCATCTGTTCCAAACACAACAAAATTTTTTGAAGTGAAATGAAAAATAAGAAGTCAATATTGCATTGAAGTTAATTTCTTAGTATCTTATATTTCACACAACGAACGCAATAAACCAATCCTACATACAGCAATACTGATACAGAATTAAAAAAGTCATTGGGGTTTACAATTCTTCCTTAAAACAGATCACAATATTTATCAATGAAAAGCTAGAAACACAAATGCAAAAAGAAGCAATGGAAGTGCTTGAACAAAAATTCACTGTTCAATTCTATGTTCCGCACACAAGAAAGAACTGCAGTTTACCATCACCACCAAGTCATGCACCAACAATAGAGAGAAAAACAAGAAAGTAAAATGAAATGCAAATAGGTTAGGTAACCTTGTAAATGTACTTCTTTCGCAGTTTGATAGCACTATGAACACAGCTCTTGACTCTGATCTTTAACAAATTATCATTGAATATCTGCAAAATGATTTGAAAATCAAATAGCGTGAGAGAGAGAGAGAGAGAGAGAGAGAGTTCTATATACTACAGATGCATCCTGGAGTCTGGACAAATATATAGCAGGACCCCCTGTTCTTGAAGTAGTAAAACAAGAAACAGTAAAAATAATCCTGTAGTGTGAATAATACGAGTTGAAAGAAAGCCTATGATAGCAGATATAACAAGACAGTGCACAGGTAATGAGGGAGATATAATGAATTGAAAGAAATTGTGCAGGTCATGATGACAAGGACAACCCAGCTATAATTAAAACAGCTCTAAAACCTAATGTTTAACGAAACCTTCCTAGATCCAGAGCTAACAATTCTAACAAAGGAGTTTTGGTGCAAGCCAACGATCTTGATACTCACTAAGCCCTCATTTGGCCCCCATTTTGGGGTGTTGAAAATTTTTGGAATAGTGATTGATGGAAGAATGTGTGGTAGAAAAGTAATGAAAAGTTTTAGATTTGTGTGTAATATTGTTTAATTTGATGGATATGTGGTTGAAATGAAGAGTGAGAAAAAATTAATGTAATGTAATGGAAAAAAATGGGGGCCAAACAGGGGCTAAAGCATGATGTTCTAACTTTGTAACAAAGAGAAAATCAAACTAAATAACACACTTTTCTAGAGCTCATTGACTTTAATTTCGGAGAGACTAAGTCGATATTTTATCATGAACACGTGCATAAATCTAGGTGCAAAAATAATAAAATGAAAAACCATGCCTGCGACAGATGAGACATGCACTACTACTGATTGCAGAACGCAATTCATTTTAGGTCCATTGTCAAATTTGCAAATATACCTAGAGTTGCAATGACCAATTTGCTTTTACTTCAAGATGCTGCATAGAGGTATTATATTCCATAATTAAGCCTAAAACATCCAATTAAAATTTAATGTTAACCCATCTACATATCTGTGAAAATTGTACATGAAAGAAAAATTAAACGCAGATTCTGCAGAAAACAAAATGGACATTCCAATTTAATCGATACAATGAATTTCAAAAGTAAAAAAACTGGCATACAGTTTACAAACTATAATATAGCATGTGGGATGACTACTAAACAGAATAGAGAACTAGATATAATCCACCTGCCTTTATTAGGTCATCAATTGAACGAGTTTCTTTAGTAATTTTCTGTCGGTTCATAATAAGAATGGCTGCTACACAGAAAACAGGTAACTCATCATCTCCATTCCTTGATGACATAACCGTACGAATTTGCAGACGGTCATTCCTTGACCAGAAATTCTTTGTCAAGCCACAAAACGGTCTAGCCGATGCTGATGCCATCCCGCTGTTGTCAGAGATGGAGCGTTCTACAGAATTATGTTTCAATGGACCACCACCGTTACTATCCACGCTTTCTTCTCCTGATTCAGCCTCTGTTTCCTTTGGTATCCGTATAAGCAATACTTCTGGGCAATTTTCATCCAGGTTACAAGCTAAGGATTCATCAAAATCAGCGGCCCATATCATCTACAAAGTATTAAAGTAGAAGAGTATAATGAATGATATATTTTCAAGAATATTACTTCATCAATTTTAAATAAATGCTACTTGGCTTATATTGTTCATTAGACTTAGTTAGGTCTCTCGCAGTTATACTCATTTACGACAGTTCTGGTAATAGGACCCAGTTCTGCATTTTACATACCAGATAACCCAACTATTTCAAGGAAACTAGGCCACCAATAATGGCTGAACAACTCAACCATATGGTCAAGGCCTATCACAAAGCCATCATAGTTTGTTATCTATTTTCTGAAAACTTGTCATTTTCGGCATATATTGCATCTACAGCAGAAAACAGTTTGTATTCCCGTGCCTATGCATTTTCATCCTGAAATACAGGCTGCATATCAAACACTTCGATCGTCAAAAGACTATTTGTAGATACTGGAGCAACAACAACTAACCATGAGAAGAAAAAGGAAAATATAGGAAGACATCAAAACAAAAATAAGAAGTTCCAATTCCATGCTGGCCAAATACATTAAGGTGAAAATTCTTGGGCAGAAAAATTGCAAATGGTTATAAACTAACACCATTTATCCATCTTGCTAATTAATTAGCATTTTTCTCTTATAACATAGCAATGAAATTAACAGGTTTTCTTGGGATATGAGTATTACCGGAACCAGGAAGATATGTAAAAGATACCATGCTTGAATGATTGGAGTTGAAGAACGTAAATACGATAGGCTTGAAGATTTGATATGTCAAGCTTGATAGTTAGGTTATCATGTTATTGAAAAATGTTATTCACATTTCATTCCATTTGATGGTCAGAAGCAAATTGGAAGTTACGCAGTGGTAATTCTAAAGATTCCCCGGGGAAAAAATTGATGTCAACTCCGTAATACGTGGAAGTATCAACGTAATTTCACAGTCATTCGAACTTGAAGAAAATATTAAACCAAGAATGACTTTTGCTTCTATATCTGAACCTCTAAAACAGAAAATAGGGGGAAAACGCTAATCGATCTACTTATAAAAAGGGACCTATATGATTCTGAAAACATAAGTGAGCGAAAATATCCTGTTCACCAGAACATTAATGCATCAATGTGATTAGCAGCAGCAAATATCTATATTGACCAATTTAAGAGATGGTCGCATGTATACCATTTAAATTTTATCAAGTATTTTATTCGATTATGGTCATCTAGTCTTATAGATTCATGTATTTGCATAATGGAAAACTAATATATTTGACAGGAAAACTTCTGTGAGCACAAACCTCCCACATACGAAGGGCATCACTGAAAGACAATTCGCGGCGGAAGAGTACAAGCAGCATACGGAAGGCAAAATGAAGGCTCTCAGCGCCTATTTGGGACAAGTGAGAAAACATTTCCCTATCTGTAAGTTCTAATATGTGCCATAGCGTCTGCAACTGTTTCATTACACCAGTAGGTCCTTCCATCTGAAAGTTTTCCCGCTGTAGATTCATATTGTATTATGTCAGTTAAAAAGATAAAGAAAACAGGAAAATTATATGAGGAAAGGTCAGTTAAACAAAAATCTTGATATATAAATACCATTCTCCTTAGGAGCATCTCGAAGCACCAAAAAGCATCAGCATTATCCTCAAAAAGAACAACAAAGGGGGAAAGTAGATCACTCATGCCTATAAATTATATAGAAGAGGATGTCAAAACCATATAACTAATCACCTAAATCCTTGCATAATTCCAATAATTACATGAAAGTTTCATTAAGAGGAAAGTGGCACAACCTTGGCAATATCCTGTTGCAGGATCAACCCATGCATAGACAGCAAGAATATCTGACATTCGAGCCAAATTTTTTGTGTCCTCATAAAATTCGAGATGATTGTCCGTTCTAACTACATCAACAACTGGAAAACAAAAAAAAAATGTTTTACAACCCACTAAATGGTAATGAAAATATTTTAGGCAGAATGGAAAAAGAGTATTTTGTTGGTAAAAGTTGATTTGGAAACCAATTACTTTTTTACCTATTTGGTGCAGTGTCCAAAGCCATTCAGACACTCTGTCTCCACTGGCAACCCCTCCACGAGATGTGATTGCATTCTTGGCTGGTATTTCTGGTGAGTCTGATATTCTAAGCCTCTTAAGCATTTCTGATTCAAATTCCAGATTATTTGATGGCGAAAGTGATCCGTGCACATCCCGGTGAATCTTTTCACTTTCAGAGTTAGGAGGTAGAGAGTCCTCATTAGATGGGGTATCATTTGACTCCACAACTAGATCTGCATTGCTGTCAATTTGAAAAGTGTACATATGCTCATCCCCAAATTTCAATTTACGTCGTGTCGAATGTCTGTCATCGCATAACCTAGGTTCTTTTTTATTTTTGTCACTCTTTTCAAATAAATTTGTAACTGGTAAAGGAGGGAAATCCAAATAGCTTTCAGTTACATATTGTGGTCCCTCAGCTTCAAGCTCAGCCGGGGACGTGAAGTTGTAAGAACCAGAAGAAGGTACAAGACCAGAGTAATCATATGCTCCTTGCTCGCTAGCTCTTACACTTACAATGTCATTAGAGTCACCAGAGCTTTCCCTTCTACATGTATGTGATTTTTCTGTATAGTTGCAATCCAAAACACAGTTAATATTATCTACTTTGTCAGCACTGGCTTCAGAAATATGTCTGCTTTGGTCTTCATCTTCCCTTATCCCATCATCTTTGAAACTCGTTCTCATATCCATGACTTTAGAACCTACAACATAGGCAAGGGAACCAGTTCCTATGCTTGAGTGCATCGATTGACATTGCTTAATTAGGTCCATATAACGTTCCCTGTAGTAAGTTCATAGTCAATTAATTTGCTATTAGTAAGTTGTAAGATAGAAAGAAATATTAAAATTCCACACATCCACTTATAGTTACTTCCATCCACTTATAGTTACTTCCATAAGAACCGGTAATTCGTCAAGCAAATATTAAAACAGAAGTTTAAAGCAGCCAAGGCAAGAATATAGAGTGCCATGGTGTAATTATTTGAAGGAAACTTGCTGGCAAAAGTAACTTTAGTTCTAGTTGCTCCTATTCACTAATTTTGTGTTGTTCTTTTCCAAATAGTTTGTTAATGGGAATGGTAATGGACTTGGCAATGCTTATCCATACTGCTAAATTAATGAAGGGTATTCTTGGGTCCTGGATGCAAAATCTAGACAAAAGTAAGATGAGTCTTCAGAATTTTAAAAGCTTTCTTATTGTCACAATATACCATTCCAGATTTTGAGTTTCTCACAGGCAAATGCTTTCTCTAGGATGTTCTCTATTGATCTCTTTATAAATCCGACTTTATTAAAGATACAAAAGTGAGAAATTCCCATATAAGCGAAGTATACATCATATTTTCTATGTCCTTGTAAGGGTTTAAGTAGATGTACTTTCTAGCAGTAGGCTGCCACCTTTTAAGCGCTCATATAATTTTTCATCTCCTAGACTCTACGATATTCTCTCTTTATTTTTCTTGATAAAACAGATATAAAAAGTAAGAAATTCCCGTGCAAAAAAGTATACAAGAAATATCATCTAAAAACCATAAAAGCAATTCTCCAAAATAATCTCTTCACTGACTAGAACCTGATATTTTCTAAAATCTGTAAGAGTTTAAACTTCTAACTTCGTCCGACTTACACTGAGTACTCAAATCACCTTATTTTACTGCCCCCAAATATATATATATAGGGCATGTTTGAGCCCCATTTTTTTGTGTAGAATGCATTTTGAAATAGTAGATTGATGAAAAATGTGTTGTTAAAATGAAGGAAAAGTTTTTGGGTTATGTGTAATATTATTTTATTGAAGAATGTGTGGTAGAAAAGAAAAGAGAAAAATATATTTTGAAAAAAATGGGGATCAAACAAGGTCATACTTTCGACAGCCAATCCATCCACAACAACAGTCAAATTCTATCTTCAAAATAACTTAAATGGAGCCTAAGTGACTCTGAAATCCTCCAATAGCATATGGAATGTCCCTGGATAACTTCAATTTCCTCTGCATGGTCAATCAGGAACAATTTTCCAGTAACTTTTTGATCTAGAAGAATGTAAAACAAAACTTTGTCTCATACTAATCATATTGCATTGAAAACCCACTAGGATCAAACAAACAGATAAGAGTCATAATAGTTATTAATCATGAACATCCATGTTACTAAGTGAAAGCGACAGCAAGGTACTGGAGCAGGCTTTCAAAGGCACAATTTAGAAAGGGAAATATTATTTCAGAATGTGACAAAGAAAATTGCAGGTTAAGAGACACTACTAATAACATCCGTGTTCCTCAGTGAAAGCAACAACTAGGCACTAGAGCAGGCTTTCAAAGGCGCAATTTAGAAACAGAAATATTACATCAGAATGTGACAGAAAATTGCAGGTTCAGATACACTATTAATCAGTACACAGCAGCAGATAACAGAAAGACCATAAATTATATAGTTTATGATCCTTTCATTTTTTGTGTCACGAGATTTCAAAAAAAAAAATTTTGTGTCACGAGATGAAACTCGGTTATCACCAAATAAGACTAGAATAAAAGGGGGAAAAAGAAACTTAAGTTCACTTTAACATTTAAAGAAAAACAACTATTTCAGAACCAGTTTCTATGATTCCATTTACTTATCATATAACCATCAATCTCACCATATCCATACACTCGAATAGGCAATTTTTTTATTTATTAGAAATGCCAAAAACCTGCTTCTCCATTGTTCAGTGTACATAAATAGCTAAGAAAAAGTATATGTTTTGTATTTTAAGTGTTCTCATTGCCAAGATGTTTCCTAATGTTTCAGCTTTCAAGGAAGGTTTCATGTCCTCGATAGCTTGGACAAACCTTCAGTAATGAATAATGAGAGAGCATTAACATATGAACTACATCTACACTCAGCATAGTTTGAAAAAGAAAATTCAAATTGCATCCATGTAATTAGAAAGCAGAGCAGCCAAGACATTTCATAAGCTAACAACACAAAGTGAAACTGTTACACCCCGAAAATTTGAGAACACAAAAATAAAAATTTATTTGTTTGATATGCTATATTTTTATATTAAAAGTTTGAGGACTAAAATGAATAAGTTTTAAATTCTTATTTTAATGTGGGCCAAATAATTAGATTTTGATAAAACGAAATTTTGTACATTAATATTATACTCGTTTGATAACTCATAATTAATTATGAATTTCAGGCTCGAGAAATTTAATTTGAATAAGATTTTGATAAAACGAGATTTTGTTAATATTATACTCGTTTGATAACTCAAAATTAATTATGAATTTTAGGCTCGATAAATTTAATTTGAATAAGTTTATGTCCAAGATATTGTAATTTTAAGAATGTGAGTTTTCGAAACTATTTAAATTGGTTTAGTTTGATTTAACGCATTAGAGCCAGCCACGTTTCACGTGCAGAGGAGAATATTAATTGTTTTCCTATTTTATTTGGATGAGTTTAATAGTAGTGATGTCATTATTATTTGGGATGGCATTTTCTTGTGACACGTGTATTGTATAGTAATATTATATTTTATCCTTGAATGTCACTTCACATAAATGATATATACATACACGAGTTTTAACCATATTTTAATGAATTTAATATTAATATTAGTCGGATTATGATACAGTTTAATATTAATCCAAATTATTTGGGAACCAATAGTTTTTATTTATGTAATTATATTTAAAGGTGTTGGCTTATCAGATCGGTTTATGTGTGTATTGTTAGATAAAGATTAATTCAATTTTCTAATTCATGATTGGTTGGTTGACTGTATTGATAACCTTTCAAAGCAATATTATATTATGCAATAATTTATCCTTGTTTATCTTATCAAATCTATATATATATATATATATATATATATATATTGTTTGAAGATTCCAGTCTGAGATTATGATTTCGTGTAGAATTTGAAAATCTTAGTTATGATTGGTCAAAAGTCTTTAATAGATAAAAGGTCCTCAAGTAAATAACATTCATTGAAGCCATCCATCTACCCTTGATTTTGGTGAAATGTGATAATGATTACTATCGACAAGAGTTTGATTGGTTAAAAAATGTATTTGGTTGGCAGCTTTCACGTGTGGATAGATATGGAATAAGTTTTTGTATTGATTAGTAGTTGGGTATTGTGTCAACCATGTAGTGATATGATTTATTATTTTTAAACATTGAAAAAAATCATTGTCATCCAATTTGTTGGGATACGTTTCTACCATCCTATGTACACTAGGATTTTACTCCTTTTGCCCTATAAATACCCATGTATAGTCATATTATTTTTCACATCAAAATAAGAATAGAAAGTAAAGGAGAAAGAGAAAAGAGAGAGACTACTTACTCATGTGAAAGAAAGAAGAAAAGTGGGAAAAGTCAAAAGTAAATACATCATTGTCATACATTCACTTTCACAAAAGCAAGGAAAAGTTCTGGAACGTGTCATTATATTTTCTTCAAAAGTTTGTTTGATCCATCTACGGGGTAAAATACTTTTTGTGCAAGTTGTTTTTCCTTATACTTTTATGTTCAGTAATTTATGCATGAATTGCCAATGGACCTTCGGGTTCGACCTAACGAAATGTGAAATCCTTCGGGAATTTAAAATGGGAAATGATGAATATCTCGTTTGGTCACCGATATACTCCATAAAGAAAAATGTGGTAAATGAATTGTTTTATGTTATTGTTATATAATTGCATATGGAAACTGCACGTAACTTACTGAGTGTTTTTTAAAATACTCTTATAATTTTTACAAGTTAGTTCGGGTCGATTGGAACTGTGGCGGGATAGTGCAACGAACTGCCAAGGAAATTTGACATGGGAAAAAAATTAAGTGAACTGCCTTTTAAAAATTGTTAGTATGATTTGTTCATTGAATTTATTGGTTGAGAATGTTTGAAAAATTTTAAGGATGCGATTTCATGTTTAAAATTTAAATTTATATATGTTCCAATATTTTGTTTATTAAAGAATTTTATCGTTCCGCATTTTAAGGAATTGAAAAATTATTTTGGTAACACCTCAAATACGAGATGTATGAAAATTTTGGGGCGTTACAGAAACAGTGACTAAAAAGACCAATACCTCCTGGCAGTCCTCAATTGCCTTCGATATTCAGTAGTGCTGCTCAAAGCATAACAGCCCAAAAGGAATTCCCATACTTCCGGCCTTATAGATGGATCCACACCCTACCATGCAAAAGATGAAGCATTTTAGCAGCTAAAACGGTTAATTTTGGCTAAACAATACAAAGAAAAATTATCCTATTACAAATATTATATTCAAACTCGGAAAGAAACCAAGAATCGAGGCACAAAGTTATTATAATTTGAATATCAGCTCAGAACATAAGAAACTAAACAAGAATTAGAAGAATAATCAGAGCCACATTTCAGTTATCATTTATGCAAAGAAAATGTATAAAGCTAAAGAAATTCACAACATGCGTGTTCATTCTGATGTCAATTGAATATAAAAAATGGGTAGATTCTAACTTGTGTCTTAAGCTTTCAAGTTTCTTCTACGTTCGGGTATGTTGCAGTGGACCACTTAGATTATTCCAGATGTAGCACATACATTCAAGCGCAATGTGTTGAGGAAAATAGATCAAGTTTGTGATGCAGTACGCTGATAATGCTTAACAGGTATTAGGTGCAAAGATTTTGTAACAGGTAGATGTTGATTATGTTCGATGAGCTTGTGCTTTAGACAAAATAACAATTCTTACTCAAACAAAGTCATCTATCAAGGAGGCCAACCATTGGGTTCCATAAGCAAGTTTGGGGCACCTATCTTTTAAGTAAAAACAGGATTGACTAAAGGTAAACCACTTCCTGTGCTAAGATTTGATGGCTCAAGTGAATTTTAGCCCTTATTTGGGCTCCATTTTAATGGAAATTTGGAGGAGAATGAGTTTTGGAATAGTGATCTTTTGAAGAATGTGATTAAAAATTAGGAAAAAATTTCGGTTTACGTGTAATATTATTTTATGGGAGAATTTATGGTTGAAAATAAGTTTTTGAAAAAATAGGGGCCAAACAAAGGCTTATTCTTTCCAATTCGCCCAATGAACTTGTGAATAATCCTTGAGGTTATAGACCATAGATTAAATGCTTATTATCTTTATAGTATGTTTGACCAGCTTAAATTATAATTTAAGCTTTCCAAACATGCTCTAAATGTAATAGAAGCCAATGAAGACAACAAAGACAACCAATGTTTTGACTCATTATCATTATTTTATTAATTCATTTGCATTTTGAGTGTTTGAAGACATTATTTCACATAATACATCTCTTAATATTGCACTTAAAAAATTTAAAATCCCTTAGCCTTACTTTCGACTATAATATTGACAATACAAGAAAAGACAAGAAAGAAAAATGAAGCAAACGAATGGATACATGCATTTTACCATCAGTTTTCAGCAAATTATTTACAAGTATTATATTATTTCTAGTCTAGAACAACGCTTATTTTGTTTTCGTATTATTTATTACTAGCTAAAATTTTTATTTACTTGAAAGTTAATACTTCCTTTTTGGGTGAGAAAGCTAAATGGCCAAATTATGATAGTGTTGTCAATATAAATTTCTTTGAAAATTATAGAAGCCAGCTGCATCATGCCTAAAATCGATTTGTAGTAAACGTTTTTTAACTAGTTGCCGATATAAGACAATCTTACTTCACTTCAGAGAAGATTAAGGATTTTAAATCCTATATATACTAAATAAAAGGACTAGCCCTAGGTTTAAGTCCCAATCTTGGTATGGACGGGGTTTCACTAAAGAAAAATAGAGAATAAGCACAAAGGGATTAGTAGAAAGTTAAAAGATTAGAGATGTCCCCAAAGAAAAATAGAGAACAAACAGGATAAGATTAGAAGAAACCTTTGCTTTCCCGCCCTGCTATTTCAAAATGAGGAAATGGAGCAAATGGCTTGGCTTAACTAAGTTATATGCCCTCCATGTGCTGGGGGCAACGGTCCTTAATCCTTATTGAGTTTTTGAGTTGATGAGCTCTTGAGCTAGAGTCTAGAGAGATAAAAGACTAAAGCTATTAAATAAATTGCTAACTTCCTTGAGATCTATCTTTCACTCTCTAGATTTACATATCTTTCCTAATTGATGAATACATGAGTTAGAGTCCTTCACAGGAAGTCAGGAATAATCTTCCATCCTACTTTGATGTTCGTAATGTCTACTCTAGGTTATCACCACTACATAATATGGACAATCATGCATTTGAGATACAAAAGATATAGGAAAGCCAAAACATTGAACCCAAGAAACAACATCAAAGCCACATGGACTTGAAGTAGCAGTCAAGCATGAATAACTGAAGCTAAGAATTTTGGGTACCATCACAAGATTCAAGCTTCCAAACTATCCAAAGTTCACATTGAGAAATGGTAAATTTTATGGCGTGATAATAACTGGAAATAAAACGAACAAAATGTTAAAAAAAAAAATTGCAATAGAAGTGGTTACCCCCAATATAATCAATTTCAGAACTTTTTGGAAACCCATCATTTTTCCTTCAATATCAAAGGTAGCCTGCCACTTTTCTGGCTTAAGCATTTTGCTTACCTGCACTTCGAAGAAAAAGCACATTTCTACACAGGCTGCAAAATAAATTCTACTGAACTATACAAATATAAAAAAAATGAAAGCAAAACTCTTCACGGCCATTGAAGTCAGAATATATTTAACCAGACTAGTCAATGTTGAATGTGCATTGCATGTTATTATAAAATACTTTATAAGTGTTATAAAATTAATAATTAAATATTCGAGAATGTTAATTAATTTAGAATTAAAACCAGAGAATACATACGCAACAGTGAATGTTAAATTATTTATTTAATTTTCAATTAAGTAAAACTGGATGTTAATTAGCATACATGGACATGAATAATGAAATACATTCTTTAATGTGAAATTCTAATTAACTTATAACTAGAATTAATAACACATAAATGAAGATAAATATTAATTAAATGAATGCGAATGTTAATTAAATGAGAATTCATACAGTAATGAAAGTATACATGTGAAATGAATCTGTCAAATGTACATATACATTGATGGTAATTAAATAGTTAAATAAATTAAATACATATTGAAAAACGAAAAATTAAAGTATTATTGAAATATTTGAATTATAGTAAAACTAGAATAGTCCAAAAAATGATTCTCACTTAATATCATATTTAATATATTATCGATATAGATTTTGCACCCAATCATATATGTTAATGCCAGGCTTCTGCATCTGCTAAACAGAGTCAGTTACATGGTTAGGAAAATATTTTACACCCTACAGATGGCCCAGAGAGAAACTAGAGGTCAATTTTCCAAAGCTAGAAAATTGCCAAATGAGGAAAACAAATGTTCCCCACTACAACGTAAAGAACAAATAACAATATTAGAAGAATTCTGCTCAAGTCAAAATCTCCCAGCATAGACCCAACAGTGCTCATTCATCTATTTCATTTTCATGTTTTGATACTAAACTACAATGACTTTCCATCAAAAATAAGACAAATAGAGTAAAATTTAAAAGGAAAAGAAAAAAACAAAATGAGAAAGACAGACTTCTGATTTTATTTATTTATTTATTTATTTTTAGCAAAGACATCCACACGTTGTTAGTGAGTTTTTAGGCTCCATAAAGGAAGGTCAATGGAGGTTAGGATTCCCCAACCATGTATATATATCATCAAAAAAGAATATACGGGGAAGGAGTAAGACATAAACCTAATCTCCAAAAAGCAACAAAACAACAAATATAGTAAAAGCAATAAAAATGCAGTAAATGAGGAGAACTACTCCTCACAAAAGAGATCTGCTATTGTCTTTTTATATTCAAGAAACTCCAAAACTCTATTTGGTAAACACCAATATAGTTAAGAACTTACTTTCATAATTTGTAAGAGAGTTATATTTGTAATATAATTTGTAGTTAATCCATCTCAGCAGTTCATTTTCTTCCTATTTTGATTAAAGAATTTCTTGCTCAAGGGTGAAGCTTCATTAAAGGTTGGAAAGGCCACAATCCGACTCTTGTCAGTGGTGGGAGTGGAACAAGCAATTGCTTTTGGTGTTTTGGTTTTCTACTATTATTTTAGTGACTTCTATAGTAAACTTTTTATGCTCATCAAATGTATTAAAAAGCAGATAATTTTTCCCTATTATATATGATGCCGAACTCTCTCCTTATTTTGAATGTCAAATGTCCCCCCTAATTTTGTTGGACTAAAGAGGTTGTTATGCTCAAGTACTGTCTTCATTGCTTCTGTAACGAATATCACATATTTGCTACCGACATAATGTATGTTTATGGTTTTACAAATCATGAAACTAAAGTGGTAAAGACAAAGAATGAGAAACAATTAATTGTTTATTTCTCAATGATTTTCTTACAATGTCATGGCCCAATTTATAATACAAAGGACAGTACAGTTAAAAAATGTAAACTCTTAATTAAATAAATAAAAAAATATTTCCTAAGCAATCACTAATTATACCATACAAATAATTACAATAATTCTATAATAATTCCCTTCCTTAATAATCTCCTTAATTTCGAGATTTCTATACTCTCCCTCAAGTTGAATCGTAGATATTGCTCATATCCAACTTGCAGATAAAATCCTCGAAATCTTGTCTGTTTAGCCCTTTGGTGAACACGTGTTGTTTGTTCATTGGTAGGAATGTAGAACGTGCAAATAGTTTTCTTCTTCAACTTTCTCCTTGATAAAGTGTTTGTCCACCTCAACATGTTTTGTTCGATCATGTTGGACTGGATTGAGCGAGATGTTGATAGGTGCTTTGTTGTCACAATAGAGTTTGATTGGGAGTTTCATCGTAACTTCTTAGTTTGTCCAAGAGCTTCATTAACGACAATCATTCACATATTCCTTGAGCAGCTGCTCTAAACTTTGCTTCCACACTGCTTTTGGCTACTACATTTTGTTTCTTACTTTTTCAGGTTACCAAATTTTCCCATACAAAGGTACAATAGCCAGTAGTTGATCTCCTATCTTCTATTGATCTCGCCCAATCAGCATTAATAAATATCTCTACCTCTTTTTCATTTTTCTTGAACAATAGTCCTTTTCTTGGAGAGCATTTGAGGTATCTTAGAATCCTGTATACTGCTTTTAGATGAGCTTCCTTTGGAGAATGCATGTGTTGGCTTACCACACTAACTGCGAAGACAATGTCAAGTCTAGTACGTGATAGGTAGATTAGTTTTGCAACTAATCGCTGATATCTGTCCTTTTTAACGGATTCTCCAAGGTTGTCTTTCTTCCAGCATCCAGAGGAATGTCACTTAGTTTGCACCCAAGCATACTAGTTTCAGTTAGGAGGTCCTGGACATATTTTCGTTGTGAAACATTGATACCCTTTCTTGATCTAGCTTCCCAGAAAATACTTCATTTTCCCCAAGCCTCTAACTTCAAATTTCTGTGGCTAGACTCTTTTTCAGCCTCTCTATCTCAACTATATTATCTCCAGTGAGGATCATGTCATTAACATATACGATCAGGATGGACTTTGTCCCATCTTCAAACATTTCGAAGAACATGGTGTGATCTATCCTTGTCGATACCCGTCTTTTCAGTACTTTTGCAAATCTATCAAACCATGCTCTTGGTGACTGTTAAGACCGTACATGAACTTATTTAGTTTGCATACCTTGTTCTCTTCATTTTTCTTACAAAAGTCTGGTGGTAGTGTCATGAAGACTTCTTTTAATTCCCCATTTAAGAATGCATTATTAATATCAAGTTGTTGGAGTGGTCAATCCAGATTAACTGCTAGTGATAAAAGAACTCAAATTGTATTCAATTTTGCTACAGGTGTGAATGTTTCTGTGTAATCTACGTTACAGGTATGAGTATATCCCTTTGCAACCAGAAAGAGCTTTGTACCATTCTATTGTCCCATCTGCCGTATATTTTACATTGAATACCCATTTGCACCCAACAAGTCTCTTTCCTTTTGGCAGCTCCATCGCATCCAAAGTTTCATTTGTCTTCAAGGCTCTCATTTCTTTTATAACTGCTTCTCTCCACTTGGGAGAATCCAGGGCTTTCTGGATATTTGTCAGAATTTCTGTACTATCAAGGTTCGAAATCCTAGAGAAAGAGCATTATAAGCTATAAATTTTGATATAGGAAAAAGAGTATACGATCGAGTTTGTTTCTTGAGAGCAATAGGTAGATTAATATCGGATGAGTCGAGCGGGGTCTCATGGAGATTTGGAGCTATCACTGGTTCTGAGTCATTTAGTGGTGCTTCGAGTATAAGGTCTTCTTTAGACTTTGATTTTGGCTCCTTTGAGTAAACTATTATCTCTTTTCATGTTCTTTTTTTATCTCCCCCTGAGTTCAAGTTGTCTTATGTAGATGGCATGTTAGAACAAGATAGCGTTATATCTTCATTGTTTGGGATAGATTCAGATGGAGAACAAGAGATTTCCAAGAACCGCTGTTCGCTTAAATTTTCCCCTTGAAGAGAGGAGTTTTGGAAATAAGGACTATTCTCGAAGAAGGTGACGTCAAGTCTAACAAATACCTTTTTGTGATTGGATCGTAGCATTTATACCCATTTTGTGTGGTGAGTATCTAATGAAGACACACTTAAGTGCGCGGGTTGGAGCTTATTTCAGTGATAGGAATGAATGTGGACGAAGGTTGTTCATCCAAACACTTTTAAAGGTAAAGTTGAGTGAAGACGAGAGTTAGGGAAGGATTCTAGGAATTTCTAGAGAGCAGTTTCGAAACTAAGGGTTCGACTAGGCATTCTATTTATGAGGTAGGCTGAGATTATGACAGCATCTCCCCAGAATGTTTAGGCATATTTGTAGAAAACATTAGGGCACGAGCAACCTCGTGAAGATGCCTATTTTTTCGTTCAGCAATCCCTTTTTGTTGGGACTTATCGACAAAATAACTTTGGTGAATGCTCCCATTTTTTGAAGGTAGCCCTTAAGGGTATTGTTGAAATATTTTGTGATGCTATCCGTGTCAAAATTTGAATTTGTGTTTGGAATTGGATTTGGACCATTAAGTGGAAGTTGATAAACACTGAACGAGCATTAGATTTTTCTTTCAGCATATAGACCCAGCAAATTTGAATATAAAGTTGATAAACCATTTTGTGTAGGTGGGATTAGTTGTTCGTGAGGGTCCTCCTAATTCGCTGTAAATTATGGTAAATGGTTTCGACGGTTTGTATGTGAATTTTGGGAATGATGACCGGTGATATTTTGGAAGTTCACATAGTTCACATTGAAGATCAAAAGACATTTTATTCGAGAATACTGAAGGAATTACATGTTGTAAATACTGAAAGTTGGGGTGACCCATTCTATAATACCATAAAAGCACTTCACTATTCTTAAGGACAAATGCAGAATCACAACTAGCAAATTAACGTAGATTACTACTCACATCAGTCTCGTCAAAGTAGTAGAGTCCTCTATGTTCTTTAACATCGCCAATCATTTTCCCCGATGATAGGTCCTGAAAGACACATTAAGGGGGAAAAAATTAGCACAATAATTTGAA